TGCTTGGCTAAAATATAATTGTAAGCGGAAGGACTCTAATGGGGTTCTTAATATCCCATGGGGAGTGATTTTTTGCTTTGCACTTTGGGGTATTTGGTTACATCGTAACCAAACCCTCTACAAGCCTCACGCTTATCCTGTTACTACTTTTAGAAGCCTTATTATTGAGAAAGCTGCTGAATTTTGGGCTTTACATCCCAATCATTCTCCCCACTATGGCCAAATTAGATATTTCAAATGGTCTAAACCTTCTCACCCATCTATCAAACTCAATACAGATGGCTCTGTTATTGGGAATGGTAAAGCAGCTGGTGGGGGTGTTTTTAGAGATAGTAATGGTAATTGGATTCTTGGGTTTGTTAGAAGAATTGGAAGCACTGACAGTCTCTCAACAGAATTGTGGGCTTTGAGAGATGGTCTCAAACTTGCAGTTGATTTCCAGTTCACTAATATTATTGTTGAGACTGATTCTTATATTGCTTCTCAACTTTTGGCTAAACCTCCTATTGCTACTCACCAGCTTAGCTCATTGCTTTTGGATTGTAGGGACCTCCTGCAGCTTATTCCCCATGCAATTGTCAACCACACAGTTCGTGAAGCTAATATGGTTGCTGATCAATTGGCAAGAATGGGACATAATCTCCATCAGAATTTTGTTATTCTTTCTCAATGTCCCCGACATGTTAAACCATTTTGTGTTTTAGATATTATGGGGTTTGAAGTCCCCAGGACTCGATGATGCACTGTTTTATTTCTGTTTAATATTATCTTACCCTCTTTTAAAAAAAAAAAAAAAAAACAACCTCTAAATCCGTCATTTCCCCAATCTAATTCTCCAACTAACCCTCGGTTTCTCCCCTTTTTGGGGACATAACTAATCCTCTTGTTCTCTTTCATTTCTTCCTCTCTTTCTTCTTACCAAATTTGTGTACTAGCGAATGTTTTCAGAAAAATTATCAAATGTGAGATTAATGGCAGAAATTTTCCAATCCGCACACTCCAATAGATTTCTAATCTTATTTTCTAGCGCACGCTGTTCTTCCGAAAACCAGATTCTGATTCCGATTCCGATTTGGTTTTCGCGACATCCAATTTCACGCTTCCAATCAATAATGTGCAGCAATTTGCCCCTTGGTTTCGCTTGATTCATGTGTTTTTTCACAGTTGCCAAAAACGTTGATCTTCAATCCTGTGACTTCCTGCCAGGTACATGCTTCCTCTGCTGATGGATTTCGCATTCTCAGTTCTCTTTCAATTTTACTTGATTTGTGTAAAATTGCAGCTATCGGCAATTCTCGGATTCCTGCCTATCGTCGCCGCTTGGATCTATGCAGACTATTTGGAGCACAAGAAGAACTATCTTCAGGTAGAAGTGTGAGTTTCGGTGCATTTTAGGAAACGGTGAATTGATGTAATGTTAATTTTCCTGTGAACTGAAGTTGCTTTGTTCTATTAGTCGGCACTCCGACGTTAATTTCGTTGAAGTCGGGGTTGAGACTGTCAAAGAAGATGGTTTTGTTAAGGGTGGAGCTCTCTGATCATCTTCTCCTAGGTTTTTTTGTCTGTTAGTATTTTTTTGGCGAAATAGAAATGGAGGATGAAGAACCGTTTGCAGAATTGGGGAAAACATGGAGTGATTTTGAAAAAAAAAAAAAAAAAACTGTAGGTCCCATGAAAAAGTTTGTCTAGTTGGACACAAAAAAAGGGGAATTGTGTAAGGCAGTTTAAATGTATGTTTAGACTTTATGGATTTTAGTTTGTTTAATTTACTGTCATCATGATACACCTGCACTTCCTTTTCTGGGAAGGAGCATGGTCTACTATGAACGCAAGTTCCCAGCCTGAGGAGTCTTAATACATGTAATGTATTGATCTTTCTTTTGTTTGTTAATTAGCAGAAAGTAAATCTACCAATGATACCAGCTGGGATCAACCGGTCCTTCCAGTTGTGTCAATTTCAACCACCAGCACTGCTGAAGCCACCCCATCCACTCCCAATGTAGGTGAGGAACTGCTCCAGTGAAACCTGGCACAGGATTGTCTGTTGCTGTCAAAACCCTCAACCATGATGGACTTCAGGGTCATAAAGAATGGCTTGTAAGAGATGTCTTCATATATCTTGATTTTCTTAAATTTTGTGTATCCATTTGATTGATTGAAGGGTGTTTTGTGACGTCCAAATGTCCCAGGCTGAAGCAATTATCTTGGTGATTTTTTGCATCTTAATTTGGTCAAGTTGATTGGTTATTGCATTGAGGATGATAAAAGGCTCCGTGTCTATGAGTTTATGCCTCGAGGAAGCTTGGAGAATCACCTATTTCAAAGTATGTAGATTTACAAATTGTTTGCCTTTCCTGGTCTTAGTTTTCGTCATAAAGCTGGCCTTGCTTGGTCTTAATTTTGCCATCCATCTTTAATACCTGATAGCAACCTTTGAGTTAAAGGGAAACCCTCATGAGGATTTAAAAGAATAACCTGACTAATAATGGTGCTGTAAGATACAAAGTGTGTCTTTTAAGATCGTTCCATATGGTAGAGAATTGGCAGGAGCTAAGACACCAACACCCCACACCCCACCCCACAACCCCCACCTCCAACATGTTTATATAGTTGTACCTACTTGGAAGTAGGCATAGGTGCAAACAATTACAGGGTTTTTGTATTTTCCATCTTGCTAGTAAAATGACCTTTTAGGAAGCAGTTCCATTAGCTGTTTTCATTTGTTTTACTCTGGACTTGGTTTTTGTGTTAATGGCTTTGTTTATAGTTTAAGTGCATTGAAACATTGTGATCTCATTCACAAATGAGGAAGAGGAAATAATTATCATTGAATTTAATAGTTTTGTTGTTGAGAAAATTATTTATATTATAAGATGGAAAGTGAAGAATAGATGGTGACAGATAAACTCATTAATATTCAGGATTGATTCCGGGAATCATCATTTTTATGGAACATGCTATGAAAAAGATATACTTTTCTTTAAAGGAACAGCCTAACAGCATCATATGTGGAGGCACTTTTTAAAGGAACTATTCATTATATGAGGTATTTGATTTACAATACCAGCGGCCTAGTGACTGAATGATGGTCTGCCAGCAGACTATTTAACTCAGTGCTTCATATAATGGGTATGTTTTATGTTGCAGGGTCTCTTCCTCTGCCCTGGTCCACCAGAATGAAAATTGCTCTTGGTGCTGCCAGGGGCCTTGCCTTGCTTCATGAGGAAGCTAAAAGACCTGTAATTTATCATGACTTTAAAACATCTAATATCCTTGTGGGTGCAGTGTGTGACTCGAATGATGTTAACAATTTCCTTTTTATTTTTCCATGTATCATCCTTGTCTAAGAGTTTGCCAACACCTTTCCAGGATTACAATGTCATGCTTTCTGATTTTGGACTAGCTAAAGATGGTCCAGAGTATGTAATGACAAGTCAGTAGAACAGACAAACTGGCAGGAATGGCATTAACCCTCCCCCCTCTCTCTCTCCCAGCACACAAAATCCCCAAAATTATCTGTTTAATTTTCTTTTAGTTTGAGGAATTATTTTAAGGCATTTGATATATGGCGCTGGAAAGTTGCAGCAATAGATCCATGATGTGTTCAGTTTTTATTCACTTCAACAACTATATGTCTGTACATTCCAAGCAATTTTTATTTTATGTTCTTTTCTTGTTCCATCTAATGGTTTGTGGATTGGTATTCATATGATATGAATTTTCTTTTGAGTGAAAATATGTTTGACATTTTAATGGTGATTTATTTTTCGAGGGCATCTGACACCTACAAGTGACGTCTATAGCTTTGGGGTGGTCCTTATTGAGATGTTGATGTGCCGAAGACCCATGGACAAAAACTGACCAAATGGGGAGCATAACCTGGTGGAATGGGCTCGGCCATATCCTGTAGAGAAACAAAGGTTTTCCGACTTATAGATACTCGACTTGCAGGACCCTTCTAAATCAAAAGGGCACAGAAAGCAATTCAGTTGGCTGCCCCCTGTCTTGGCCGTGATCCTAAAGCCAGAACTTTGATGAGCGAAGTTGTTGAAGCACTAAAGCCTTTGGCGAATCTCAAGGACATGGCTTGTTCTTCATCTCACTTCCAGGGCATGCAAGCATAGCGTGAGGGGTCTATTGCAAATGCTATAATTGGTGGTAGAGTGCAAGGTGGTTTCCCATTAATGAATGTTCGACCAAGAAGGAGAATCTCTATGCCAAATGGGCCACATGTTTCTCCATATCACCATAATGATCTTCATTGGTCACCCAAACCTGATGTTGGACAATCTTGAGGTTAAACCCATGCCTATGTCCCTGCTTTGTCATATTTTATTTTGAGTTTCTACATGGAGTGCGTTAGTGAGCTTTGGAAATTAATATAATGCTGATAGGCCTGATATGTTCCTTTTTAAATAGAAGTGCGTTACTTTGCTCTGCATTGGGGTGAAACATCTTCTATGCTGTCAAGGTTGATGTGAATTAGGGACTACAGTTTCTGTGGTACAGCATGATGCAATCAGGATTGACTTTAAAATGAAAAAAGAAAAAAGAAAAAAAAAAAAGAGATGTTGCATTTTTTGTACTATTTGCCTATTTGTATTACAGCTATTTTATTTTGCTGGGTGGTGAACCTAGCTTCAGTGCATTTATATGTTTCTGTAAAAATTTGTAATCATGGTGCCATTATTCTTATTGGGATAGATACAAAACATTGTAGCCTCTTGAGTCCCAGAATTTCCTCACGAATTCCATTTAAACATATCTAAACAGAAAATTGCTGCATGAAAAGGTACAAACAGAAACTAAAAAAAAAAAAAAAAGAAAAAAGAAAAAAGAAAAAAATAAAGAAGTAAAAATGGGATGACCCAGAGGACACTCGCTTGCATCTAATTTGAGGGAGAAGCACGATGCTTATGTGGATGACCTGAAACTTCTAATTGAGATTCTCTTCCATTTTCTATCCCCAAATCACTATTCACTAACTCCAATAGAGAAATAGCTGGAAAAGGCTTTCGTAATGGTCCTTGGTGGGCAACAATTTGTTGAGACACAAATTTCATTGTTGGCCTGGACTGAGGTTTTGCACGCAAGCAAGCAAATGCAACTGTAGCAGCAAGCACAATATTTCGCGTAAGATTTTTGCTTCTTGGAGGTGATAGACGCGTATCTAATATGTCACTTAGCATCACATTTTGCAAGGAAGAGAGTGATGATAATAATGTCAGTAGTTCTCCAGGATGCTTTCCCATTAGTACTTCTAATGCCACAACTCCAAAACTATAAACATCACACTTCTCAGTCACAGTCATCGTATAGGCAAGTTCTGAATAGAAAACACGCATAATATTTAACATATCAATTCAACAATTAATAGAGAATGAAATAAGGTAATAGAAAAATAAGGGTGATGGAGAAAACCTGGGGCAATATAACCATAAGTGCCGACAAGTATGGTATGATTGGAAGAATCAGCATCCAAAAGCCTAGCATTTCCAAAGTCAGAAACAAAAGCCTCCAGTTTCGAGTCCAATAGAATGTTGTTGCCTGATATGTCTCTATGAAGGATGGGTGGGATGCTATCATGATGAAGATAAGACAAAGCATCCGCCGTGTTTTTTATGACATTCACCCTTTTGTTCCAATCCAACTCCACAGCTTCTTCATCATCCCTAAGTACACAAAACAAGCTTCCTCTCTCCATGTATTCATAGATCAAAAACATACATCTCCTGTGTAGACAGAATCCATGAAGCTTCACAATGTTTCTATGTCGTATTTCTGTCAACATCTTAATCTCATTCTTAAAACACTTGTCAAAAGCTGGATCCTCTGCTTCCCTTCGATGAAGTTTCTTCAAAGCGACTACTTTGCCATTTGGCAAGAGTGCTCTATAAACACTTCCATAACCACCAGTACCAATGCAGTATCTGATGTCAAAATCCTCAGTAGCTTCAATGATGTCTTCGTATGCAACCCTTCCATCAAAGTTCCATATTGAGAATATGTCCCCATTTTTTGTTGGCCTCGGATCTGCTTCCTTACTTTTTGCTCTATGTATTCTGCGATAAAGCAACAACAGTGCAAGAGGTACCAAGGCAATAGAAATGGTGCTGGCAAGAATAATTTTAAGATGTCTCAACAATGACTCATGTCTCGATTTTTTGCTGCTTGTTTTTCTATGTTCAGTGAGTGATGTTGAGCCAGTAAGTTGTTCATTTTCTAAATCCTTGTTGCCAGCGAAAGAACTTGGAAGAAAACGACGCAAGTCATTTGGGACTTGACCCGTAAAAGAATTGTACGATAAATTAAATTTATCCTCATTCAAACTAGGTGGCAGACGGGGAATAGAGCCAGAAAGATTATTGTAACTGAGATCTAATGCCACCAAATTTGGTAAATCCCCAAGTTGGCTAGGCATTTCTCCACTGATGAAATTATGGCTGACATTAATTAGAGAGAGCATGGAGAGATTGCTAATCTGAGGCGGGATACTTCCATTTAAAAGGTTACTGCTCAACGATAACTCTTTCAAGTTGGAGCAATTCCCAACCTGAGTTGGGATTGGTCCACTCAATCTGTTTTGGGAAAGGTTCAAATATGCCAAAGATTTTGAATTCCCTATATCTGCAGGTATCAGACCTTCTAAAAGATTTGAATCAAGATACAACTTCCACAAATTAGTTGAATGAAATAAAGTGGGAGGGATTGGACCTGTTATGTTGTTCTCCCTAAGAGACAGTAGTCGCAAATTGTTTAGATTTCCTAACTGCGGTGGGATGGAACCCTCGAAACTATTTGAGTCAAGGGACAAAAAGACCAAATTAGACAAGAGACCTAAAGATGCAGGAATTGAACCTGTTAATTTGTTGAAACTAAGACCCAAGTAAGTCAAGTTCGTAAGGTTCGGTAGTTCTAGATGGATGGAACCATTGATTTGATTTTCGGAAAGAAATAAGTATCTCAAATTTGTTAACTGACCCAAAGTTGGAGGAAGTGGACCTACGAGTTGGGCCGCCTCAATAATCAAAAAGATGAGATTCCTTAAATTTCCAAATTCTAGAGGAATACAGCTGTTGAATTTATTCCATCCAATGGACAGAATTGACAAATTGCTTAATTGACCTAGAGAGGAAGGGATCGGACCAACAAGCATGTTGTTGTATAGATACAAATCATCTAAATTGGCTAATTGACCAAGGGAGGAAGGTATAGGACCACCAAGCTTGTTTTCAGATAGATCCAAGGTAAGTAATTTGGTTAATTGACCAAGGGAGGGAGGTATAGGACCATCAAGCTTGTTTCCATATAGATCCAAGGTAACTAATTTGGTTAATTGACCAAGGGAGGGAGGTATAGGACCATCAAGCTTGTTTCCATATAGAACCAAGGTAACTAATTTGGTTAATTGACCAAGGGAGGGAGGTATAGGACCATCAAGCTTGTTTCCAGACAGATCCAAGGTAACTAATTTGGTTAATTGACCAAGGGAGGGAGGTATAGGACCATCAAGCAAATTTCCAGACAAATCTAAAGTAACCAGACTCTTTAGCTTCCTGATTTCTGAAAGAATAGATCCACTGATACCGTTTTCTGAAAGAGATAAAGACACCAGGTTGGTTAAATTACTGATATTAGAAGAGATAGTGCCAATTAGTTGGCAATGGCTCAGGTCTAAGTCTACGAGATTTTTCAGGTTCCATATTTTTGGAGGGATGCTACAATGAAAAGGATTTGAGGCCAAGTGCAAGTATGCAAGATTGGTCAAATGGCCTAGAGTTGGAGGAATCGATCCCACAAAGTAATTCCTAGTCAAATTCAAGGAGACAAGATTCTTCAAACCCTCTAGTTCTGTGGGGATGGAATCAATTTCATTGAAAGAAATGTCAAGCACCATTAATTGAGTGAGATTTCCAAGTGATGAAGGTAACGCACCTGTTAGATTATTATTGGACAGATTTAGGTGCTTGAGACTTGGAAGAGCACCAATTTGAGATGGGACGCTCCCCTGGATTCTTAGACTGCTGAGATCAAGCCGAACAAGGTTGGGGAGGCAAGAAAAGTTCATTTTTTCAAACTTTTCTGTCACATTGAGAGGAGAATCTGATAAATGAATCTCAGTGACGCTTCCAGTACCATCGCATGTTACACCGGGCCAGCCACAATGATGTGTAGATTTGCGGGAAAGGTCACTCCACCACCCACTTTTTAGAAGAGCTTCTGCCTCTGATCCCTGAGATTTTGGAGATTTTGGCTCCAGAGTTGCTCTTGCCCCAAGTCTGGTGCCAAAACCAATTGTACAGTAGAAAAAGAAGGTAGCCCATGTTATTAATTCCATGGAGCTGCAAATATTATTAAAATGATATGTTAAGTTTGATTTGTCAGCTAAATATAGAAGAGGGCCTTTTTTTTTTTTTTTTTTTTTCGTGGTGAGTGAAGGTCAAGGTCTATACCGTCCTAAGGCAATTCATTTTCCAGGCAGCTACTTTCCTTATTCGATAAGATTAGAGAGAGTGGTTACAATACTTTTCCACAAAAACTGGTGCATTTCATTCATTTTTTTCTCCTGGGCAACAAAAAATCTTAACCTTTTGCAAAAATGCGTGGTCTTGAGTCCATCAGCTACAAGCTATTAATTGGTTCAATTTCAAATTTTGGTATCAATCAAGCTGGACTGAATTGATGTCGGATGAAATTTCTTTTGATTTTCAGAAATTAAGCTTGATTTGGACTTCAGTCTTGGTTTCAAATTGAAGACGTTGTATCCACGAATGAAGATTGAAGAAGCTATAGAGTCTTCAATTCTATTGTAGTTGGCTTAATTTTCTTCTTAGTAAGCAGCCATGAAATTGCCTATTGTTGGACCAAAAAGACTGACCATGTTGGTCTTTGCATACTTTTCTCAGTGGGTTGGCTTAATTTTCTTCTCAGTAAGCAGCCATGAAATTGCCTATTGGGGGACCAAAAAGACTACCATATTGGTCTTTGCATACTTTTCTCAATGGATCCAATCCTTTGATAACATCTTTAGATAACTACCAATGTTTTGATCCAATCCACTTCCACAGCTTCAACAACATTTCTTAGCACACAGGAAAGGTCTCCTCTTCCCATGTATTCATAGATCAAGAACACACATATCGCCTTCAAAGACAAAAGCCATGAAGTTCACAATATTCTTGTGCCTTATTTCTGTCAGCATTTTTGACTCATTCCTGAAACTCTTGTCAAAAGCTCCACCTAGTGCTTTTCTACCGTAAAGTTTTTTCATGGCGACTACCATGCCGCTTGGCAAGTTTACTTTGTAGACACTAACTACCATAATCACCAGTTCCAAAGCAATATTTGTTGTCAAAACTTCAGTTGCTTTGATGATATATTCATAATCACCAGTGCGGCGCCCAGAGTATAGTTGAAAAAAAAAGGGACGACCGGAGAAGGAATCTAATGACGATCAAGCTGCCATTTTCCCGAAGCACTCTTGGTCGTGGAAAAACATTGAATTTATCCTTCGAATAAATATAACTCGCTGTAATAAAGATGAGGATGTAAAGAAATCGTTCAGATTTCAGTAGATTTTGAGCAGAGTGTGCGATTTGAGAACTAGGATTTCCGAAGAACCATGTTGCGGTAAACAGAAGAATGGGCCCGCTTTTTATTGGAAAATACTCCTTAGAGGCAAAAACCTATATTAACCCTTACACTTTTCGATACTATTGAAGATTTGAAATTTCTAGTATGTTTGGAGCATGATTTTTATGGGGGAGTATTTGAATATAAGCCTTTTAAATTTAATATTATTGTTTATTTTTATAAAATAAATGTGTAATTAAATTTACCTTAAATACATGTAATTAAATTTATATATTTTATTACTTTAAATCTATATATTTCAACTCTTTTTTTTTTCAATGAATAAATTGAATATTAAATTTATTATTGCTATATTAATTCAAATAATGAATTTAGAGATACATATATTTAAAATTACATATATTTTAAATATATATTTTAAATAGATCTTTCAAATACAAATTTAAATTTCCAAATATATCTTTTTTTATAATTTTTGAACCCTCAAACTTTCAAGTTAAAAGAAACCAGCCCTTTAACATTTTGACTGAATTAAATGTCTGTTGACGTAAGCAAACCTTAGAAGAAAAAAAGTAAAAATAAAAATGTTAATTTTATATTTTTTATTTAAAAATGTTAATTTTTTATTTTTTATTTATAAATATCAATTTTTAATATTTTAATCAAAAATTATTTAT